AGATTGAAAAGGGAGGGATTTACAAAGGCATTGTTACTTCAATCAAAGAATATGGTGCTTTCGCTGACTTCAATGGAGGCCAACAGGGCCTCCTGCACATCTCTGAACTCTCCCATGAACCGGTGTGTGCTTTTGTGACATTCAGCATGCATTTTATTTATTTATTTATTTATTTATGTATGCAGTCATCTTGATGCAGGATGAAAATGAATTCCTGCAAAGTAGTTAGAACAGGTAGAATATAGCATAACTAGAAGAAGAAGAAGGCGGAAGCAGTAAGAAAGGGGGAGGAACCGGAGAGAAACAAGGGGAAACGGCCGGCTGCAAGCCAAAACCAACTTTCAATTCTAATTCATCATCAACTGTCTCAAATAAGAAACAAAACAGAAATAAATAGTAGAATACAAACCCTAAAGAGAAAGGCTTGGGCCAAACCCACTAAACAAGCCCAATAACGAAAACATAAACAATAGTCCAAATAAAATATAACTAATAGTCCAAAAAGAAAATAAATAATAAATGGATGTCCGAATCAACTCTCCCGGGGTGGGAGAAAAACTCGACCCCGTCGAGTAGATAAAGCAGAATGTTGCGCTGAATCTGATGCGAAAGGCTCCAAGTCATGCCACGGGGGACGATCTTTCTCGATAACCAAATACCGAAACTCCACAAATGATAACAATGATAGTTGTAGCTTATCCTCAAGGATATGATCCAACCAAGGAGGACGATCTTTTCTTGTAATCACATACCGATACTGAACTCCCAATAGTAAAAATTCATGCCACTCATCTCCAAAATTTTTCGCATTGGTCAACACAACCTGTTTATCTAAAATAGCATCAATTACATCTTTGTGTGCTGTGACATGTGTTATTGGAGTGAAAATGGTAATATATTTAGATTGGGGATCCACATAAGGAAGTAGAAAAGGATCATCAAGGAAATTAAAAAGGCTTCTGTAAGTAACTAAGTCTTCAATATGTAAAGTAGAGTGGTGGCCAAAATGTTATGAAAAATTAATGACATGCGTATGGACCAACATGCTTTAAAACTTTAAAAGGACTAGCACTACCGGCTTGCAATATAACATAATCCCCAATATGAAATTGAAAATATTGTTTATGCAAATCAGTTTGAAGTTTATATAATGCATTACTTGCGTAAAGTTGTTTATTGATCTTAATATGCAAGTCATGAAGATGATGCACAAATGCTTCAACTGATATCGACACACTAGCATGTGGGGACATGGAAATACGATCTAACGGCCGCCTAGACTTATAACTATGAACAGCTTCAAATGGATTCAAACCTAGAAACCGATTTACAGAATTATTATATGCAATTTGAACAGTTGGGGGAATCAAGTCCCAATTTCTAGATTTTTCTAGACTAGAGACTTGAATAAATTGCCAGGACTTTGGTTAACGACTTCATTTTGACCATCAGTTTGAAGTTGGTCAGTAGTGGGGAATGTTGATTTAATGCTAACCACAGGCGACTGGATTCTCCAAGGGTGGCCAGTGAAATCATCAAGCTCTTTGAGTTGTGCAAGGGTATGACATATAACATGTGACCAAGAGTTGTCAAAAGCAAGGGGTATAGTATCTAAAGTCTCGGGAAGAGTTTGGAGTCCACCTAAAGAAGTGTCCTCACTATCATCCAAGTCATCAAAATCTTCAAGTTTAGGTTCATAGACTAGATCTTCTAATGGCATATCTATTACATTCTTTCGTTCTTTCATGACTAAGGTTCGATTAGTACATTTGGAAGAAATGTGGCCAAAGTCCTTACAGCTGACGCACAACAAGTGAGAAGAAGTCCTTGAAGTTTCAAAAATTGTACCCTTATTTTCCAAGATTGTATGAAGATTAGACGGGGAAGGTCTTAGAAGGGACTTAACGGGAGGAGGTGGAGCCAATGAAATCGAAGGATGTTTGTCAATATGCTTTCTACATGGAGAAGATCTTGGACTATCACGACCTTTACAATTATTTTTCTAAATAGGAGGAACATTAGACGGAGAAGGCTTTATGATAGATTTATGACGAGGCGACGCTAATGGGATGGGTGAATGACGATGACCACGCCTTTCATATGGAGTACTAATAATCAACTCATAATCTCGAGTTAACGAGTAAGCGTGATCAAGAGTAGTGACACCTCGAAGGAAAAGCTCATGCCTAAGATCATCTCTCAGACCTTGGCTAAACTTACTCAAAGTCAAAGTCGTAGTCTCGTCCTCAATTAAATGACATTTGATTCGAAATTCCTCAAATTGTGCGATATACTCGGTCACTAGTTGATTTCCTTGTTTAAGGGCATTCCATTGAGTAAGAATTTCAAAATTATCTCGTTCTCGCTCATGAATCTGATCCCTATACCTACGATCGTGTCTAAAGCATTTTTTATCACCATGATGATGATGATAATGTCTATTATGGGACACTTTGGATTTATGAACGTCGGTTGAACGAGGGATTTTCTTAAGGTTGTTCAAATTAGCAGATAAAGCCTTACTTTCTTCAAAAGTAGTAATCACCTGAGTTTGGAGAGCCGCTATTTGTCGGGTGAGTGCATCAAATTGTGAGGGGTTCATGTTTAAAGTAGTAAAGTGACAGGACGACCACTATACAATTGTACGCAAAGCAATACTACCTAAATGAAATGCAATAGAGAGACCAATATGCATCAAGGACCAATGATTAAAACGTCAATTTGAAATTCTCTTTTCTTCCCTTCCAAAAATGCAAGTTAATAGTGCTGATGCTTGTAAATAATAAAGCAAGGGTCCAATGCTTGTCAAGATCAAATGGTATTGTCAAGATTTACAATCAAGTAGATAAAAGAGGTAACAATGGCACATCAATTCAGTGAGATAAATGGGGCAACAATGGCAAATCAATTCAATGAGTGATTCCAGTCAAGTGAAGTTTGAGGTCAAAGTTGTGATAGTAACAGCAACACAGAATCTAAGTGATGCACTTTTAAAATAAAACAGCAGTATAAACCAATGAGAATTAGGAGATAGCAACTCCTTGTAGTCTAGTTGCCTGAATTGCTAACGATTGGGCCTCTGATCTGCCTGTGTCAAATGTCTCCAGCTCCTGAACTCACGGTCATTGCATATTCTAAATTGTTGGCTTCACTGAAATTAGACAGATGCTGAAATAGAAACCTCTGTGTAACTGAATGGGTTGCTTGGTAGTAGAGACAGTAAACTGCTTGATCAATGAAGTCGGTGGCTGGCTGCAATCCTCGAAGAAAGTTGTTGAACAATTGGGTTAGTGGTGGGTCACCCGCGATGATGCTACTGTGGGCGGAAGGGCAGTTGCGGTTAATCGGCGTAGATACTGTGATGGCCTGGCTTCTGAGGAATTGATGCGTGAATGTGCCTGGGTAATGAATGGGTCTCTTCAATTGATTATGGGTGTGTGGGCTGCCGACGAAATTGACGAATGGCCAATTGTAATTAAAGGGCAAGAAGATGGAGAAGTATAGTGGATTGTTGCCTATATGAGGGGGATGATTGATTATTGCAGGTAGTGGCTTTGTTGATGTGGAAGGAAACGAGAGATGGGGCTGTAGTTGGTGACGACTGCGAGACGCCGTCACAACGCTGGGGAAGCTGCGCTGTGCCAGGCGAAAAGAAGAAGACGGTGTGAGGAGGATGATGTGAGTTGTGCGATACTGGTGCTGGCGGTGGAGATGGTGGGTCGTGAGTGGGTTTTCGGTGATTGATGGTTTGTCGGGGCTGAAGGTTCGGGCGATTGGGTCGCCGGCTGGAGTATTGAGTTTCTGGAAATGGATTAGTGGGCTGGGCCTGGGTTTGTTGAAAGAGGGTAGATGAGCTGGGTCATCGATTTGGATCAAACAGGGAAACAACTACTGGGTTACGTTAAATGGGCTACGTAATTTTCTGGATGCTTAAGCTAGTCTAGGGTTATGAGGCTAGGGTTTTGAATATAAATCAGTAAAAATTGATTAATATTAAACAACAACAATAATAGAACTTGAGCAGCAGCGTGCAACAATAGACTTCTAAATGATAAAGACTTCAAAATTTTTTTTTTCTTTTTGCAACTAACTGAAATTGGAGAAATTGCCGCTAAATTTTTTTTTTTTATTGCTGTTTTAAGGTTTTGACGGAAGATGGTTAAAGGGTTTGGATGAGCGATTGGATGGCGGTGTTGTGTATATTTTTATGAAGATGAATAGAAAAATATCTGAAAGACAATTGAAATATTCCCAAGTTTTAGCTCTGATACCAATTTGATGCACCAGCACTTAATTTGATGTGCATTGGGCTAGACGTTCGTGGGAATGTTAATTTATCTTTCAAAGCCACTTTACCTAGGCCAGGATCAAAGACAAATGCTTCAGTTGCTGCACAAGAAGCACCTAAAGTCTGGGATCCCATTGATAATGTGCACGAGAAAAAATATCAAGATGACAAGCCTTTAAACACTGGGGCCTCCTTGTTATTAGGAACATCTGGAGTTTTTATCCGAAGTGCTGTTGAGTGTGAGGAGGAGGAAAAATATGCTGGTTTGAATAAGAAGTCTAAACCTAGTTCGAGATCCTACAGTGAGTCAAAACGTCTCCAGTTGAGAATAATGCTAATTTTGTAAGAGAAGATGAAGATGAGAGCACTACCGGTAAAGCAGCAGCTGAGCCCACCTTGACTGCAAAGAAACTAAAGCTTGGAACAGAAATGACAGCTAAGGTCCATCAAGTTCGTGCTCGCGGATTAGTCCTTGATTTGGGTGGTGGTATTCGTGGAATGTATCGATTTGAGGTAAGTGCTATCTAATAATTATTATAGGAAATATCAGCTTCAAGTTTTTGATGATTATAGAACTTTCTGCACGTGTTTTCCATCCTGTAATGCCTGCTTCATCTCTTTAGATTTACCTACTTTAAGCTCATGTATCTTTCGTTATTCTAACTCAGTGGTTAGAGTATTGCTTTCGTACAGCGCGAGTCATTGGTTCTAATCCAATAGTAGGTAGAACTTATAGATACCGCAGCCAATGAACCAACTAGTCCCTATCTAAATCTTCCCGTTACTCAAGTAGCTTCCCCGTCTTTTTAAAATTGAACATCTCCAATTAATTCCCAGACTTCCCAATAGCTATCCACTTTTCGAAATAGATGTTTTTGTAATCTTGTTCGTTAATTATCCACGGTTAACCTTCACTATACACCTATATCTTCCCCGCCCCCCACCTCTTCCTCGTAGGGTTGAGAATAGTTGCTCTCAGTCGGACGAGTCCGAACCTAGGAAACCATTAAAACCAGTTTCATTTGTACTCTTCATTGCAGGTTGGCTTTCGGAGAGACTTCGAAGTTGGCAAGGAGGTTAAAGTAAAATGCTCCAGTTTCACAGCCAAGGGGATCCCTGTAGTGTCATTGGTTGAAGAGGAGAAGTCCTAAGCTTTCAATCCAGTGCAAGAATCAAGCTTGGCAAGGTGAATGTCAATAACCTGGCACGTCTGTTTCTTCCAAATTTGTGAGGAATCTGTGGAATAGAGAGCGTTGAAGATCATATCATCAGGTGGCTATTTCACTTCATTTCGACTAAGCTTATTAGACATGGCCCCATTTCAGCATGTTGCACTTTGCCAATAATGTTTAGTGCTACACAGCGTAAAATTTTGAGTTGGCAGGCATTGTTTTTAAACTGCGGTGATAATGTAAATTTTGGTTCCCTTTTATGTGAGTTCTCTTTCCTATGAATATTGTCATGATGACAGAACCTCAATAGAAATATCAAGAATTTGGTTCTGATAGGAATATTTTTGGAATCAGAATTTGTTCTCTCCCGCACACCTTATTCTATTCTAATAAAAAAATTGAAGGCCTCTGCTGAAAATAGGTGGCCAAACGTCTCGTATTGGCTTCCGAAAGGGTTAGTTGTGTAGGGTGATCGTGCTCATTCCTAGTATGGATGTAATGATACATTATTACTTAAAATTTTCTCGATATGGTAGTGGTTATGTTAATTGTACAATGCTAAAATATTGTCAGTGTGTAAATTAGCACCACAGTTTTTGTTATGTTTGGTGTACCACTTTTTAGTTGTAATAAAGGTCTTAACCTTTATTCATTATGACACACATTTCTTCATTTTTTTTTTACCATCCTGAACTTTCCATTAATGAGCACATTTTGACTTTTAATGATGATGGTTGCCATAAAGAAATTTGCCCCTCAACGAATACAAAAGTTTGACAAAATGACTTAACACAGTGTAGACGACGCTAGGAGGGCTGAACAACGAAATCGTCAAATCGCAAAATCGAACCGAAATCGTTTTCTTGAAATCGTTAGTTTGGTTCCACGTGAATTCATCAACGTTTTGGTTTTGAACTCAAATCGATTTGGTTTAAGTTTCAATCTTTACAAACCGTTTGCCAAAAAAATTGAAAATAAATTAGTCTAAATTTTATTTAATCCAATTAAAACTTAACACGTTTCAATTAAAAAGATACATCTATATTAGATATAATTCAATTAAACTCAAATCCACAATTATACATCTCAATTAATTAATTAATCATATCTAAATATTTATGAGTCATCATAGCTGTGAATGCAAAACCCTAAAATTGGGTAAAGAGTTGAACAATTGATGCTAAATTACATTCATCGATTCTTCGTCACAGTTGAACAGACAATAAAATCTAGATTTTAATTCAAACGTGCACATTTCATTTCCTTTTAATAATTTTCTCAAATTTTGCTCAAATTCAAGTCAGATTACCAAATTTTTTTTTTTGATAATTATTTTTATATTTTTATTGGTAGTTATATTGTTTTGTTCTAATAATTGTCAGTTTGTCAGTCTTCCTTAAAATAATTCATCAATATTTAGATTTAGTAAAAGTTTTGAATGATTCAAAAAAAGTATTTGAATGTTTTTAATCATTTTCTTTTATTAAATATATCATTTAACTGTAATCAATGAATTTATGTACTATATTTTTATATTTATGAAGAAAATGAAACATGTATTACACTTGCAGATGGACGTCATTAGTATCGACTAAGAATTTAAAATATTTATATCATGTTTTTGCATTATAATGATAATAGTTATAACTTTGATTTGTATTTTTTTTAATAATACAATTTATATTTTAACATGAAATTTTAGACTAATATTTATTATTTAACTTATTTGATATATATTGTATTTTTTTTTTTGTTAAACTGTGATTTTAAATCGAATCAAACTCAAATAAATGATTTGGTTTAAAAATTGAAATGGCTTGATTTGAAAAAATTTCAAACAGCTTTAAATAATTTTGTTTGAAAATTTACCTCAAACTATCCAAATCGAACCGTGTTCACCCCTAGACACTAGGCATTCGAACCAGAAAATTTACATATGTGAGGAATAAGATTATTTTTCCATTGTATCTACTCAAAGTAGGTGAATCCTCATTGAGTGGCATTGTCGAGCTCGATTGACATCCATAAAGTCTCTTAATGTGTCCTCTTGTCCTCCCCCATTACATCTGCAAACACACAAAAAATAAAATAAAATAAAATAAAAGGAAGGTTCTTGGGAAAGAGTGGTGAAAATAATATAATAAATCTGGGTAAAAAATATTACGAGTGTTGCGTGTGGATTTGTTATTGTTGAAAAATAATATTAATGATTTCAAGGTTAAATTCATTAAGTTAGCCTTGTCTTCCAATTTTTTTAATTAAAAAACAGAAACTTAAAAATTAGATGATCTCATCTTTATTTGGTAAAGTCAACTTTCACGATTAATGAGTTAAAACAAGAATGATTAAAAAAAAATTGTACATTACAGCCGTTCAACTTTGATCGGCACTTCAAATAAACATTACAATTTACACATAGGGAAGTTTATATTTACATTTTGCATACTCGTTAATTTATATTTTGCACACAAGACCCTTAACTAGAAATAACGAATCATAAATAAACTCCTAAAGTTTCAAAATCCCATTGTCAATGCTTAGGGATGTGTTGCTAGGCCTAGATTAAACCAAACCATGAGACAATCGATAGCAAGGAAGCAAGTTATGTTTGCTACTTGAACTGCTGTTATGTCTGAACGTCATCTTGCCTTTCATTCACTAGTTGATCCTCCTGTCAAATAGAAGCTTTTCAAAGGGTGCCTCGCTTGCCTTGTCTTTATAGAGGGTCACCACTCCTCGTCCAAGGCGTCTTCCCGCCCTATGTCAACATTAGGAAACAAGTGGATCAACTAAGCGTTGTCTCACCTCAGGCCTTACTGTTCGGTTATCTAGAAAATTATAAATCACTTAAATTTACTAGGTGTTTGTGACAACACCCGTCCTACAACAAATATCATTCAACGTAGTAAACAAGTTTATCACATTCTGAAATTTGCCTCTCTTCAATACATCGTATCTAAATCTCCATTCGACAAAATTACAAATCAATTTATAAATAATCAGACTTCATTATTAAAAATTATATTTCAAAGAAATTCATAAATATTAGACAGTATTTTCATAACTCGTTTTTATAAATTTACAAATTAAATTATCTTTATAAATACTTTTCAAATGGACAGTAAGCTTTCTCGAAAGATGCAAAAAGTTATCTCGTCTTCGCCTGGAGTCTACCATTTTGTGCTGGACCTGGACTTGCTATTCTGCAGCCGAAACTTTTGAATTTTTACTCTGTCCTATCATGGGTGACTTGTGGTCTTCACCAACTCGCCGCTCGCCGCAAGCGCCCTACCCCAGCCTACAGGGAAAAGAAGCTTTGTTCCGCATTTGTTTGGTCGTAACTTATAAGTTTTAATCAAAATTAAATATTATTTTTAATCAAATATTGATAACTGTTACATATTTATTTATGTAGAACTCAATAATATTCCTCTTTATAAATAAATAAAACGTTGGTTCGCAATTTTAATATATGAAGCACAGGGGCAAATTGGGCTCAACTTTCAAAAATGAGTAAAATGATCCTTAACTTTTAATTATAATTATACAATTAATCTTCTAAATCAAAAATAGTACAAAATTCATTTTAATTTGTCACGTGATACTTTAACGTCTAACCTTAAATGATTAGATTTTGGTTTACAATCCCCCTCGAGTAAAAGCTTCCACGATCGGTTGACCAAAATGAGGATCCCAAATTGCATAAGCAATAGATCTTACATGTAAAGGGTCCTGTACCCATATGAAACAGATTTGCAGAAGTTGGGGATAATGTCCAACAACATTTGAACGGAAATGTAAGAATATAATGAAAATTTTAAGGATTACCATTCTTGGAAATCAATTATGTAACTATAACGAAAAAAAAAAGTTGGAGATCACTTACTATCTATTTAATAAGTGAAAATCCAATGATATCATTATTCTTTTCGAGTAAATAATTTTTATCATTAGTGATCGATCTACGTGACAGTGTGAACCACCTAATTCATTGTCCAATAAAATTGTAATACATTGGCTATTGAACAGTAAATCAAGAACTTCCGTCATATAAATTAATAACGTTATTTAGAAAGGACGAGAACCATTAATTTTAGTTTTTTTTTTTTTTTTCTAATACGAAGATAAAAAATGGAAAATGGTTAGTCTTTCTATGTCCATTTAAGAATTGAGTCAAATTTCAACTTAAGAGGGCTGTTAGTGCGGGAGAATAATAAAAGATTGGAAACGTGATAACCTTGGATTGTCTATGAAAGTGACGAGACTACAATAACACCAAATATCCTTGCGACAACTTTTATTATTCGGCGTTGATTTAGGCCTAAAGTCCAATTCAACGGCTTTAAATTAATCACAATGTAATCCCACATGTAATTGTCGAGTTATTTTTTTTGGACCCCCCGCACACACACACACACACATATATATTGATATTTAATTGAAATTATGCCCTGTTTGATTCTCTTTTTGTCTCTCTGATTGAATTTCGTGATTTATTTATTTTTTTATTCCATTAGTCAAATGATTTAATTGGAAGGATCCATTAAATTTCTTCTCATTACTTTTCATAGTTTCAACCATTATAATCTACTGGAACACATGATAACTTTCCAATAAGAAAAAAATAATAATTAAATGTTGAATTAAAACAATTTAACGAGACGGTTAATATGGTTTGCTATTTAAGTTAGAGGTTAAGATTAATACTACAATGTTTCTATACAACATATTAAGTCTCTGTGTGTTGGGAATTAAAATTAAATTTTTGGTAGGTTCCGATAAAAGTTGATGAAATATATAGTTAAAAAATTGTGAAATTTATAAAATATGTGATTAAAAATAATTATTGATTTTAAGTTAGATTAAAATTTTAATTTTAATTTCTACTAAACAAGAGCTGTAATTGTGGTATCCCTACAATTATGAGACCATAGGTCATAACTCTCGCTACAACCTACTCCACAAAATTTTGGAATACTCAATTATTTATTTATTTATTAATTTACGAAATCTAAATTTTATTACCCCTTGTTTGAGTATTGTAGATGACATTTCCTTAGGCCTAAATCTATAATCACCAATTAATTTTCATTCCTCCCTAATGTCTAGGGTTCGTGAGTTCTATCAAAATTTAACGCTTACTACTACTCAACTCGTCGACATTGGTGACGACCACAAATATTTAGCAATTAGATGAACCTTCGTATTGATTTCAAGTTTCTACACATTGATAGTGTTACGTCGTTTTAGAAAAATTACAACTTACTTCTTAACCCTAAAATAAAAAATGTTCTACTTCACCACGAGTATAGTATAAAAAATACCGTAAAATTGGTTGGTGTTAAGTAAAATTAATAAGGTGGTTATATTGTCATCACAATTTTTATTTTATACACCACATTTTAGTTGAAGTTAAATTCAACAATCTTTGCTCATTTTAGCAAGAAACAATCTACAAGTATAGATTTTTTTTTTTTTTTTTTAACAGAATTGGTATTGAAAGACAATTGTCTTCTTGTGACTTGCTGTTGCAAAAAATTATTTTTGACAACAAACAATTACAAGACAACTATCTTTCTATAACAATTCTATATTTAAAAAAAAAAATCTGTACTTATAGCATTTTTTTTTTTTTGTAGCGGAGGAACCCATAGTCGCTACTCTTCGGGTGCGCATTGAATAAATCATCGGGCTTACGCAATAACCTGCAAACCTCGCTAGTCAGGTAAACCGCACTAAGCAAGTTCGGTGCGATAGGCTCGACCGAGAAAGTGTTGGTAGGGAAAATCGAACTCATGATCAAAGATTTCTGCGCTTACCTACTCTACTAACTCAGCCATCCCATAAGAGGCCTTTGTACTTATAGCATTGCTCTTATAGCAATTAGTTCCTTTAACTTTTTTTCGTCGAAATCTTATATTCAGCCTTTTAGTGTGTCTTATCCTTGATTATGATTTATATCTGATTATTTTGTTTCATGCTTTAAAATGAGGAAAAATAATTTTTACACTTTGTTTTTATTTATTTTTAAAAATGATGATAAAATAAGTTATTTTACATTGTCTCAACAAATTTTTGGACATAAAATTATTACTGAACACAAAATGGGTTAACTAATAAAAGTTTGAAGATAAGAACAACATGAAAAATCGTTAGAGATATAAAAAAGATTAAAAAAATCTTAAATATAATTAAAATTTAGTGTAAGAAACAAAAACTGTGGTGGGAATATAATGATTAATTGTATTCATACAGTAATTTTTTATATTTGCGCCACATTTTAATTACAAGAAAGGTTTCCAATATTTGTTTACTTTTACTTTTATGTCCTTAACTTTATTCTCATCATGTTGTTATTCTTAACCTTTAAATAATTAACATATTTTGTCTCTAATCACAACTTTCATCCTAATATTCAATTAATGTGCACTGTAAACATGGGTAAATATTTTGCTTAGCTTTTATATTAGTTATTAAAAAATACGAGGGATAAATATATCTTTTTGGCAATCATAACAAATATTTTGGTGAAAATCATCTCTACAAACAAGATGTGAAAATTAATATAGGGTTGCTGAGAAAAAAAAAATTAAAAATGAAGTTGAGAATATAAGTGTAAAAATAAGAAAAGTTTAAGGATATTCATTGTAATTAAAATATCATGCAATTAGTAAAACTGTAATTAGCCATATTATTGTTTTACCATTTTTGGCCTTTGTCCCCCAGCAACCACTCCAATAAATAAATTTAAAATCAAGGTTCTAGGGACAAGGATTTTGAGGGTCCAGAATTTAATTTAGTGTAAGTTGGAATATGTGGATATAAAAATAAATAAATAAATAAATTTAAAAAATAAAAAAATCATGCAAAATTCATTATGGGAAATGCACAACGGGCAAGCAACTTTTTGTAGGCTACAGACTTCATTGTCCTTGCAAACAATAATGTATCCCTGAACAAATATTCACTGTGTAGACCCATATAGAATTTGTAAAGCTACCAAATCCCCAGAGAGAAGGGCCTTCATCAATTAAATGGTTTTCATTTCTTCAAGAACGAATTTTTACATGCTTCTATCAAGCTCAAATTGTTCATATTTCAGATGGATCATAATTTTCACGTTCTTTTACATGTGCGTATTAACTCAATCAGATCCGAGAATTTCAGAAGCTGGGCTTCTATGTGGCCGATCAAGGCCGCCTCCAAATACCAGTTACATCCCATTATTTGTTAGAGAAATGGAAGTTCTTTCTCAACGCGTCACTTCCCAGAATTGGGGTAATTATTCAGTAGATTCCAGCACAATTTCGATTTACAGTTTAGCCCATTGTTACAGAGATTTGTCGCACGATGATTGTCTCCAGTGCTATGCGGCGAGTCGAACCCGCCTCCCCCGGTGCCTCCCCGCCGTGAGTGGCCGTATATTTCTCGATGGGTGCTTTTTGCGGTACGATAATTACAGTTTTTTTGGCGAAGCAGTAGACCCAAATTGGGATAGACGAAATTGTAATAGTTCAATTGTTGGTAATCCAAATGAAAATCAGTTCACCCGATCTGAATTTAATAAAAGTGTCGAGCATTTGATTGATAATATTACAGCAAGTGCAGTGCTGAACGATGGTTACGCGGTGGCGGGGTTGAGGGGTGTTTATGGATTGGCGGATTGTTGGAGAACTTTGAGCAGAAATAGTTGCAGGCAGTGTTTGACGGCGTCGTGTAGGGAGGTGATACGGTGTTTGCCTAGTCAGGAAGGCAAAGCATTGATTACTGGTTGTTATTTGAGATATTCAACTCAGAAATTCTACTCTAATCATTCTGATACAACAAATAGTGGTTCTGGTAAGTTTGATTAATCCTAGGATTAAACATAGGTGATTGAAATTTTTGTTCATCAAATTCTCGTCGGATTTGCTAAGAATATGGATTATTATCTGTCAAGTTCTAGTTGGAATTAAATTATATGATCGTTTTTCGACTTTGATCCTTCTCTTGTTTAATTACATAAGTCGTAACTTCTAAGCAGGTGATCTTGAAAGAGCCAAGTCCTTAACAATGTCCTTATCTTTTGCTTCTTTGTTTTCTCAATATATGATTGCTTGAAGATCGAATTTCTCATTTTTTAAGGTTATTTTTCAGAAATATCAAGGACGGGGAAAGTATTGGCAATTGTTTTATCGGTATCGGCCTTCTGTATGCTCTCTGTATTTTGTGGTTATGCAGCCTATCGAAGATGGAAAAAACGAAAACAAGGTATGGTATCTATCATAGTATAGTTTTCAAGATCGATACAGGTGATTCTAATTATGTTGAACGCGGTTTTTGTGCAGCAAACAAAAATCTTGGCCTAATTTTATATTCTTACAATAAGTCGAATTTGAATTTCAAATATGAGACTCTTGAGAAAGCAACAAACTATTTCGATCCTTCAAGAAAAGTAGGACAAGGAGGAGCTGGTGCTGTGTATCAAGGAACCTTACCAGATGGAAAAGCCGTGGCCGTAAAGAGGTTGTTTTTCAGCACAAGGCAATGGGTCGATGAGTTCTTTAATGAAGTTAACCTCATTAGTGGAATGCAACACAAGAATCTTGTGAAGCTTTTGGGTTGTAGCATTGAAGGCCCCGAGAGCCTGCTTGTTTATGAATTCGTACCCAACAAGAGCCTTGAACAATACCTCTTTAGTAAGCCTCTATTTTTATTTTTATTTTTTTTTCCTCCAGTTTCATCTGTTTTATTTATAAACTCTTTTAGTAATTATTTATAAATGAATGCGATCGAGTTATATAATTGTTTAATTTTTCTGTTTCTTTCGATCAGGTAACAACAAGGTTACGATTCTAAGTTGGAAGGAGCGCTATGATATTATAGTTGGAACAGCAGAGGGTATCGCTTTTCTCCATGGAGGTTCTGAATATAGAATAATTCACAGGGACATCAAGACGAGCAATGTTCTTCTGGACGAAAATTTTGCTCCCAAAATTGCGGATTTTGGACTTGCTCGAAGTTTTGCAGTTGATAGATCTCATCTTAGCACGGGAATTGCAGGCACATTGTAAGAAAAATTATCATTGCACTGCCCTAAAATAATTATATATACTTTTGGCATGTTTTGGTCTGAATGAAAGTAAATGAAGCTTCATTATATTCTCGAGTTCGGTCCAACATTACATACCAAACATGCACTATGTTATAAGATTTGCCAGTTTCAAAATTTGATGTATGATTTCTCGCGGTGCAGAGGGTATATGGCTCCCGAATACCTAGTAAAAGGACAACTCACGGAGAAGGCCGATGTTTATAGTTTTGGCGTGTTGGTTCTTGAAATCGTGTGCAATAGAAAAAGTAATGCCTTCGTCGAGGACTCGGGTTCTCTCCTTCAATCGGTACTTTCCAATTTCCACCATTACTGCTTCACATTTTTCATATATATAATACTGCCGATTTCTGGTTATTCGTTTGTACATATTTGTCAATTTGGAACACTGTTTTCTCATACAGGTTTGGAAACTATACAAGGCAGATAGATTGACAGAACCGGTCGATCCTTCTTTGATGGGCGATTTTCCAGAATTTGAGGCATCAAGAGTGCTAAAAATCGGGCTTTTATGCACACAGGCTTCAGCTTCCTCAAGACCATCGATGTCCGAGGTTGTCCGAATGCTTACTGATTGCGACTGTGAAATTCCCGAACCCAGTCAACCCCCATTTTTGAACACTAGCTTGCTTTCTGCAACCTCGACTAGGTCGACCTACAGCATAAACAGTTTGGCATCAAATGCACAGACAAGATTTGAAGCATTTTACACCTCCACTGAATCCTCTATTAAGAGTTCAGATGAACCTCTTAGAAGTAAACAGCAGAGTCAAAAATAGAAACCCGACTTTTTCTTATATCCATTGAAATTCCAATACAGCATAGCTCAAAATCAGACACTTCATTCGACGAATGCTATCTAGACGGCCTCAATTTATGCACGGAAGCGCAAGTTTTTTTTTTTTTCTTTTTTTTTTTTGGTACACTGTCAGTATAGTACGGTAGCTGGACTATGTAAAAACCTCGCGAATACGTGTACATGATCTGCAGTATAGTATGAGGGGAAGGGTACTATACAGAAATTGATTGTTATATTGAAATATTTGTACTGAGAGTAGGTAATGTTGGCGGTGGTTGTCATTTTACAAGCATTTATTATTTGTTTGGTTCTTTAATGTCGACAGCTAATCCTTTTCGGATAAAACTCCTTGGACAGGGGCCGACCTGTTTGGACAGGGGCCTATCCATCCTTTCGAGTCGGTCTGCACGTATAGGGACCTCTTTCACAAACCCCTGCTAAGTAAGACACGTGGGAGTAGATCTCATAATTTTATTTTATTTATTAATACATGTGGGGTCTCACTCCTACACGTTGAGGGGCTTGTGAGGCCCTTGTAAAGGCTGCGCCTGTGCGTGCAGCCTTATTCCTTTTAACAATTGTTTCAACTCTCAACAGAAACATTTTGGATTTAAGCCCTTGTTTGGGCGTCTATTTTTTCAAATTATAATGAAAGGAGTAGTAATTTTTTAAAAAATGTGTGGTTAAAAAGTAATGAAAAAATTTTAAATTTAAATATAATATTATTTTAATAAGAATGTAATTAATAAAAAGAGATAGAAAAATAAATTTTAATTTAATGGGGGAGGAACGGGGGCTAATTAATGGATGATGCTACATGTACATCTTTGGTATACATAATGTAAACTTTTTGGATATAATTAATAGGTACACCAAAATGTATAGGTAGAATTATCCTTAATTAATTTGGTTGCTGATTAATTGTTAAATTAATTATTCTGGTAAAATGTCTGATTCAGAATAGCTTTTTAATAGATTGTTGACGCATCATAATAGCGATGGTCTGACTTTTGGTTTATTCATGGTTAATTATGCTAAATTAGAGACATAATTTGGCAGTTTTCGGGAAGGGAATGGTGCAGGGAAAGTCTCTAACTTATTCTCTGTAATGAGTTATTTTCAATCTAATTTAAATGCGTTTAGTTATTTTATACAATTGGAAGAGATTACAAGTCGTTTCGTGTATCAACCTGACCGTTTCCATCCATTGAGGATCAACTTGCTACAAATCGAATATATCGAGGACTATGCTTGCTCATTACTTCGGTTAGAAACTAACTTATTACAATTCTAGAAACCTTCTATGCAAATTTTTATTTCTAAAAAACGTAACTAAAGTGCTGACAATACAAAAGAATAAAAGCATTGACGTGTTGTACAATCATATTTGGACAGAGCTCATCCATAAAACCAGCTTGTAAGAAGGATATATACCCACAAGGATATATACATTTCAAAAGCGATGTACAATGGCGGTCCTGACTAAAGGCGAGATAGGCGATTGTATAAGACCCTGCTTTAGTGAGGCTCACAAATTATGTAAAGTTAATTGGTTGGTTGAAAAAAAAAATTATATTTATAAAATTCTTTAAAATAAAACAATCATATGCAAGCACAAAAAACTAATAAAAATTGAAAATACAAAAATCTTTAAAAATCTATATATCGATATCATAAAATTTATCGCTTACATTTATTTATCACATAGAATATATCACAAACATTATTTTCTCTTTCTATAACTATTTGACCATTTATCTTCCAAACATTCTTTTTATTTTCGTAACCAAACAAAATGTCTCGTCCAACAGTCACCCACTATAATATTTTCAACCCAACAAGAAATAAATTACCTCCCTCTGAACCAAAATTTTGAAGATTCAAATTATTAGATTGGTTTGGTCTTACTGCCATTGTTACAATCTTACATGCTTCTTTCTTTCTCTCCTTATCTTCAAAATATATACAACAGAGTACATAGGCTAATGTTATTATTGTTTTGATATAATCTCATGATAATAACCTTTTTAGATGTTTGTTGAAGGTATTTTGAATTTAATAATTATTTTTCAGTGTTATACTTCTATTTGTAAGTTAATTTCTTTTAAATTAATATACTATTAAAAGCTCATTTGTATTTTATCGTCATTTTCATTATTTTGTTATTTATCTCTTGCGTTCAACATTTTCTAACTTTGTACATTAATCATTTAAATTTATATTTAATTTTGTCCGAAATAGATGCAGTGAGAAAATGATAAAAGATACGAACATACCCTTTTGCCATTGTATTGTATTTCTATCTGTCAAACTTCGCTTATAATTTGTATTGCATGTTCAAATTTGACATTTTTATTATTTTCATCTTCAGAATTTCAAATTTAATTGTCTATATTAGATTATTTATAATTATATTAAAATTTTCTCTAAAAATATTCAAAATATACGGGCCCCATTTTTTAAGTTGGCATAAGGCCCCCAAATTATCAGGGACAACCATAGTGATAGAGGATACAATTAACTTGTTTAAGGGAAAATTACACAAGACCAAGTGTTTAAATATCCCAATTCAAAAATCAGGGTTGAAGTTTCATTATTCAAAAATCAGGTTTTGATTTAATAATTTAAATATTAAATATTCTAACCAATTCAATTTTCAAACTCTAATCTTATCTTTTCTCTCTCTACTGTCTTTCCTCTCTCTCCCTTCTCTCCATAAGAAAACCACTGTCACCATCGTCGGCGGCGATTCACGACCGACGAAGCTTTGAAGCAAGCTCACCGGCAGTTATTCTATTTTGTTTTGTCTCTCTTCTCCTCTAAAGCAAACCTCACTTAGTGGCTCCAATCGTTCTTTGATCTCCCCTTCGGTAGCGTTCACACACTCCGGCGAAGCTATAGTCCTTGGCGTGAACACAGCTTTGTTCGCAGGAGTATTGGCGCCGACTATGTTCACAACAGCATCGGGGAAGCTTTGTTCGCTATGCTGCTTTGGCATCGACTGGTGCCGCGTTGGAGGGGCTTGGGGCTTTTTCTTTCTCTTTCCAATCTGAGGAGGTTGTGGTGAATCATAGATATGGGCATAGTATCGTGCAGTAGTGGTGGCTGCGACGATATGGGGATTATTTGGTAGAACCAGGTTAATTGAAGGTGTAGGTAGCGCAGTGATTGATTGAACTGGTGGTTATGGTCATAATAAGAGGTAGTCGTGTTGGTGGTGGAAACGGTGGTGAGATTGTGGGTTGGGTATTGTTGGTGTGTTTGGTGGTGGCGATTGTGGTGGTTTCTGGCAACGGTGGAGGTGGTGGTTGGTTCTTGTGCTGTTGTGCAAGCGACGGTGTGGTGGTCGGCGTTTTTTGGTCGGTGCTTATTGGTGGTTATGGTGGTGTTGTGTAGAGACAGTGGTAGTTTTTGTTGGTGATGTAGTGCAGGCGGTGATGGTAGTGGTGGTTTTTTACTGCATTGCAGGTAGCAAAGACGGTGTTCGTTTTGTTGATGGGGGTGGTGCGTTGCACGCGATGGTGTGGTGCTAGTCCGATTTGATTAGTGGTGGTTTTAACTATGCACAATTAGAATTGGTGGAGGTGTAGTGTAGGCAACGATGGTGGTGGTGGTTTTTTTGCTGAATTGATGTTTGTTTTGTTGACGGTGTTGGTGCAGTGCAAGCGACAATTGCGCGGTGGTGATTTGTGATCAAGATTGGTGTTGGATCAGGATCGGTGGTGGGGGTATTTGGTGCATGTGATCAATAAATTTGAACATATGTGACCCTGTGACTTATAATTTTTTTGATCTATGACCAATGAAATAATTTGAGACCTGTAATTTTTTGATCTGTGACCTACAAAATCTTTGATTTGTGACCTCGAAATAATCTGTAACCAATTAATTCGATGATATGTGACCAATAAGTAAATTTGTGACCAATAATTATGAATTTGTGATCATTAATCGTGTAACTGTGACTTTATTATATTTAATTAATAAATATTTTCAATTAATTATGTAGAAACATGAATTTTGAATTTTTAAACTTTGTACCTCATTTGTGAATTTGTGTAAACAATACACCTTAAATATGAATTTTTCCCCTTATTTAATCTCTTCAAGCCCGTTTTTGCATCAATCCATTTTTCCACCTACGGAACTAGTCTTCTACTTGGAGTAATCCTTCCCTAGATCTTTGGTCCATGACAAGGGTTCCCAAGACACGATATCTACGGTAAAAATCACGTTGTATAGAACTCATCCTTAAACCGTGTAGAAGTACTCACATTTCAAGTGAGTCGTATTATCCGAGTGAATCAAGAGGTTGGCAATTGGGACTATAGATGCTGGGTTGATGTGCACGTCGCATTATTTTTGTGTCCCCTATTAAATCGCAAGATGTCACGTATAAACAAATTTATTTTCAAATGTATGCTAGAAATACGTGTCTGGATCTTCTTGTTTTTTGTTTGTGCAAATAAAGTGGTGTCATTTTCCAAGTTTGAATAACTTGACAGACAAATTTTTGTGGGGAACGAAAAGAGACGAGGAAAAACCATACAAGTCATCCATAAAAGACCCTTCTGCATCGACGACATTAATTATACACCTGGTAGAAAGTAGATGACCAAATGTAATTAATGAGTTCACATTGTCAACACACTTTATCTAAAAGCTTGGATTACTTTATTCTAATAAATTATCTAAATCAACATCAAATAGTTATATTGCCAACACCAAAAGTTGGTTCCAGTATGAAATCAACTATGCCTATTCAAAAAAGATGCAACATAAAGGCAACAAAGACACCAACTCTGCCTAGACGAGGCTGTGATTACAACAGAGCAAGGCATGGAGAGACTAAATTTTAGTTCTTTCCGTTTTATTGATCATAATCAGTACTGTCGAGTTCACTATACCAAACATGTTAGGAGGGTTCTCAACCATTACTTTTAAGCAAGAGGCAATTCTTGATATCTTTCTGTTCTACAGTAATGCAGGACTAAACAATCGCTACACCTAAAGATAAATCTGCCATCCCTTTTGCATCTTATTTTATAAAGGATCGAAATTTAGTCCATGACGCGAAAAATTATGCTGAATGCTGACTCCCTCTATGTTAGAGAACTGCCTTAACAAAGAACCAACATAAATGTCAACAAATACAAACACATTACTGAGTTTGCTCCAGTGAAATAGTTGTATTATCTTAAGAAGTGTGAAAGCTATTCTCATGTAAATCATCCCAACGTCATAGAGCATAATAGGCTAAAAAGAAGCATTTCAGGAAATTAGAATACCTATAACTGAAGATGCCAAGATTAAATATTAAAACTGCTAATGTATTTCCATAATCAAACCTGACAAAATATTAAGACAACTAAAGATTTACAGATTATGTTCAAAGTTCTTAAAAGGAAGTGTGCGTAACAACAGGGAAAGCCCTGAAACTTTCATATACTGCTTAGAAGGCAGCCCTCCATCTTCTCCCGAAAAGACAGAAAAATAAATAAATAAAATAAAATAAAAAGTCAAATAAAATCAATATTTAAGTATTACACGCTTGCCTCAATGTATATAGTGGAAACACAGCAATAACCACAACAACGTTTTTTATGATGAATAAATTTGGGGGTAAGCTAAAGCTTGCGTTAATCTTTTTCTCCGTTTCATTGTTACTTCTATTAGAATATTCAATGCGATGAGACATTTACATCATGTTAATTTAGTATACATTTTCATCTTTTAGCATGTTCTACTAAGATCTCATCACTGTGACGAATGACTTCTTTAGCTACACATAAACATGCACCAACTCCTTAAATTGTGCTTTTCTTAATTTAGATTTATATTGAAATATTAAATAAAAAGATTATATACGGTGGCCACATTACATGAATGGGTGGCCAAACAAATACTGAACTGTCAGCTGTTCAAATCTGGACAATAAATGGCAGATCGATTCAATGATTTAAACATGGATTTGACACGGCTGGAAATAAAAACCCACCAGATCAATGGTACTTCATGTTGAACATGGGTGTATTGCTATATAGCATTAGTCCAAATGCAAGCTTTAGAGATGGCAGGTCGATAACCATAGGAAACTTCATGATAAGCAAGACTGTACAGGAGTATACTGTTTTAAGGGTCCCCTTAGAGTGAAGAGTTCCCATCAGTTGATATGAACTTCGAAAGAAGCCTCAAAATGCACAACTCTAAAGGCAATGGGGAAGAATTCACTTTGCAAAGAGCTGAAACATCTGCGTGTAAAGTAAAGAAACACAGCACCAGGAGTTAAAGAAATAATATCAGGAAGAACTACTAGAGGTCAACCGCCCCTTCAAGGCATGGGTATCGAAAAACGATCTCAATTTTGTGAACTTAAAAGTAAACAAAGTCCCATCATATTCAGATATCGCAAGTACCAGAGCAAGATTATTATTCACTGACAGCTGCAGTTCAAAAAAGGAGTAGAACAACAATTCTGCATGAAAACTGCAGGATTTTTTTGATCGGTAAATGTAAATATCATTGGAAACTACAGGATTCTATTAATGTTTTCTTGCTTTAATACAGGATTTCAAATATTTCACTCCAATCAATGCCTTGAAATCTCATCATAGAGGAGCTGATAAGGGTCTCTTCTACACCGATATTCTGCAATTCCCTCCACAGTGGCTTGCTCTTTCAAAAAATAAGCAAATACTAATAGAAAAGTTACTTTCCACTAGTGTAAAAGGGTTCACAAAGTGCATTTGAGTCTTGCAAATGTTAAATATCCTGTATGACCTCTAGATTCGCCATTGCGCCTCGCCATGATTGTTAGAGAACTGGCATTTTCAAGCCCCTTTGTCGAGCGTTGTCTCTTCTTGCAGCTCTTAAGAGACATGGAACCACCATCATTATCTTGCCAGCTCCGCAAGTTCCCTTCTCGAACTTCATATGTGTGCAGAAGCACTTCAAATGTTCTTACATCTGCACAAGCCAATCATAAGCATCACCACGAATGAAAGCACTCAAGTTTAACATATCAACTACCAATTTGATTGTATTATCTATACCAGTATCATTAACCACAAAATCTAGGAAAAAGGCCTACCAGTAAAATCAGATCTAAGTGTTTCGCATGATTTCTGTGCTTGCTCAATACACGGTGAGAAGGAGCACAGCACCCCATCTTGTTTCAACATTTTTGAAGCAGAAGGAATAGCCAACCAAGGTTGAGGGAGATCGAGGAAAACTGAATCTGCCCGCCCTAAAAATTCATCTGGAAAACCCACACCCTGTATATCTCTCACCCCCACAGTCACCAAATTACTCAATCCCGTCCTTTCAAAATCTTCCCTGCAATAAAGAAAGAATACTCTATCATAATCAATACTAAAGACATTTACTCAATTTCTCAATTTCTACAATGCACTTTTGGAATAGATGCATGAAATACAACCGTAATCAAATATACATATTCAGTTCTTTCTCAATCTGCAGAAAATCAAATAGTATCCTATATTCATCAAATTATTTTACTTATACGCATTAATCTTGATTGAAGATTCTTACCTAGCTGAGGCGGCCCTTTGTTCATGAAAATCAAAAGTGTAAACATGTCCACTGGGTGCAATAGCTCGAGCAAGCGAAGTAGTCAAGGATCCACTTCCAGTGCCCGACTCGAGAACCAGGCAACCCGGAACTATCTCCAAGTACATGACAATAAAACTTATATCGGCAATATATAAAATTTGGGTTCTGTGGCTTAGAACCAGAGTCCATAGCTCAGCAGTTGGGGCCAACAAGTATACAAATCCACCCTTATTACTAAACACTTTGGAACCAAATGGTTTCCCAATCCAATCTGAATGCTTAAATACACCGAAACGATTCTGCAGAACCCCGCTTTCTGAAACTTTTACTGCCTTCATGTTATCATGTCTTTCATAAACTATTAACAAATCACCATCGCTTATGTAGCGAGAAAACGACAATTTCTTCGACGAATCAAATGGAAACATTGTAAAAATTTATGATCAATTCTCAATGTAATAATCTGCATTACAATTAAAAAGGAGCAAAATCATGAAGTCATGTTTCAAAAAGCCAGAAATTTATCCGATAGCAAATTAACACATATATATGGTTCAATAAATACATTTCTTACTCAAGCTGCTTGATACACAATCCACCTACAAGTAAGAAGTTGATTGAACTCGAATTTCCGCTCCTCAGCAAGAATGAATTCGAAGGCGAGCGAAATTTGGGGGAGATGGAGAGAATAAAAGAACGTTGCTCTGTACGGACCAATTCGTATGGTTTAATAGCCCGTGATTTTACCATACTGGGCCAGGCCCACGCCAGAGAACAACTCTTTTTTATTTTTTTTTAAAATTTTTTTGCTGAGCGCACTTATTAAATTGTAGAGTAATGCTATTCAGAGTTAAGATCAACGATAATCGTCTTACGTGGTAATTTGTTATTTAATACATTAATATGATAATTTTTTATTGTCTTATGCATCAAATAACAAACTATCATGTATACAACACGTAAGGCAACTGCCTAGAATCTTCACTATAATTAATTGTAGGGGTAATTACATTTACACAACAATTTTTATATATTGCACAGCATTTTAATTACACCTTAAGGTTCTTAATGTTTACTCATTTTAATATTTATATTCCTAACGATTTTTCATGTCATTCTTATTCTCAAATCTTCATTAGTTTTATATTCAAAGGTACGTTAAATGGAGTAAAATAACTTGTTTTTTCATCATATTTTTAAAAAATAAATAAATGTGGGTAAAAATATTTTTTCCTGATTTCAAAGTATTAAAACAAAATCAAGGACGAGACGTGGTAATTAATGGAAGGTTAAAGATAATAATTAAAAAAAAAAAAAAAGGAGTTCAGAAAATCATTGTTATAATAAACAAAAATTGAGGAGTTTGACTACAATTAAAATGTGGTGGCAATATAACCACTCTTAATTGTGTTGTAATTATATAGTTATTGGTAATGATCATTATACACGTCTGGCCCTAGTTATTATGATTATTGTATTTCTTACTACCATAAATTGTCTTATAATTATTAAAATTTAGTTCTCAATAAAATGAATACATTTTCATTGACTTCTCTTTTTTCTCCCTCTAGTTTATAATAAATTATTAATTCTTTGTAAGTTTTGAGAACATCTTATAGCTCCTATTTGATTTAGATTAAAATTAGATTTTAGTACAAGTTGATAAAATATGTAGTTAAAATTAATTTTAAACTTTGACTTTAATAAAAAGTTAGATTTTTAGTTTTATCAAAAAAGGAGATAATAGGAAAAATAAATAATAACTATAAATAGAAAATTTAAGCTTAGTTCCATTAGGTAATTACAAATTTTAATTTATTTCCTTCAATGCTTAAACAAAATAATTACAGGGTATTCATAATTAAAGTTAAATAAAAAATTGCTCTATTGATAGTCCCGTGCCAACTTAGTTCCTGAGCTATTATTATATGTTTTTGTTTCCAATATCAAAAGGAAAAATAAGTTGGAAAAAATTGCTCTATTGATACTCCTGTGACACTCAGGGTCCGTTTTCATTGTAAAGATGAAATTAAATTGTTTAGAAAACGAATTTCAGGAAATTGAATTGTCTAGAATTGTTTTCTTGAAAATTATAAATTATAGTGTTTGATTGATATAATTTTTCACGTGAAAAATGTTGTAATGAAAGCGTTTTTTGGTATTCGTTTGACTCTGTTTTATATGAAAATTATCAATTAAAGGGATATAATTTACTAGTATTAGAAATATAATTTGTTTCCATTGCTTAAAAAATAAAAATAAAAAAATAAAGCCAAAAAAATTATCTATTTTCCCTAAAATCCAAGAAAACTCAAAAGTTCAAGAAAACCAAGAATTTGAATTTCATGGGAAAAAAATGTATCAAACACCTAAAGTTGGAAAATCCAATTCCAATTTCACCCTATCAAACACACTTTTAGTTCCCGAGCTATTATTATATGCGTTCTTTCCAAAATCAAAAGAAAAAAATAAGTTTGAAAAAAAAAACAAGGAGTTTAAACGGGGGCTTAATCAGTATGTGCGAGTGCACAATATTATGTTTAATATACCTAACAAATTATGGAGACAGAAAACAGCATAGGAACTTGGAAGAAACCAATACATGCGTGAGTTCACAATACCATTTGAAATACATCACAAAGCCAAAATAAAGAAATCAAAGAAATGAAAAAACGCTCTGAAACCCAAGGAATGAATTCTCTTTCTTGATTTCCCCTTCTATTGCCAGTGAACAAATCTGTCCTTTCAATAAGCTTGGAGAAGATAGTTTCTTCGCAATACTTTCTGCAGAGCTTCCCAATATCGTACTATGAGATGGCTCTTGAGTAGTTTTTAGCTCCAAACCAGTAAAATAATCTTTTGAATTCGCGTCTCTTTCTTTAAAAATTGTGTTCCTACTTGTATCATTGGTTTCTCCATCTATGATCCCAACATTTTGTACCAACTGATTTGGATTTGCATGCCCGCGTCCGTAAAGATAAGAACTACCACGTTCAGACCCATTCTCGTTCCAAGATTCACAATCCAGGGTGACTAGATTAGAATCAACGGGCTTCAAATTATTAAATTCCGGGAAGTTCCTTTGTTTTTTCCTTATATACTCAAATATATTTCCGTCAGTCAGATTTTCAGATTCAACATACTGAGTTTCAGTTGTGAGCTTGTTTTCTCTAGCCCAAACATCAGCATGGAGTTTGCCTTGAAAAACCATAAAAGCTATAAAGAAAACATACAGCAGACAAGAAAAAACAATATCATTGATACTGTCTTCGACTCACCTGTATCACTCATGAGGTAAGAGGCAATAGAGCTGTTATGGCCATCTGGAGATGAATCTTTGTCCAAAAATTGTCGGGTTTGCTCTACTTCTGTAAGTTCAGGATATGGAATAATCACATTGCCACGAGGAATTTTACTGCCCTCTTTTTCATCCTGAAACTCAGTGCCACTATCAAGTTCAAGATGCTTCTCACGAGTGCGTTTTCTGATGAGAGTAAAGGTCTCTAACGAAGGAGAACATGTGTCGTTTGAAATGGGCAGAGTGGGTAAGTTCTTTGACTTTTCACGAAGGTGGTCAAATACTGTTCTTTCAGTCATAGTTTTGCAATCACTATCTTCAATTTCAACAACAGGGATATCTTCAGGATTACAATAAACAGTAAAGTCAGTATATTGAAACGTTGGAGGACGACAGAAAACAGTAGAGGAGAAAGAAGCGGTTTTTACCATCTTCCGAATCTTCATCTAGAAGTTTGAAGCTGGGCCTGGTCATGAAAAGTTAAAGGTCAATCACTGCTATAAAACTTCACTATAGCCCTCAGTGGAACTCTATGATCAACCATAGTTATTCAATTAAACTAATTGTAATATCAAGCGAATCCCTAATAATGTACATTGTAGATCACAATGATACAGGCAAAAAGCATTTTCAGTGAGCCTTAAAAATGGTAAAAGTACTTTATGAGTAATTTCTAAACTTGGGCTAAACATAAGTATAATTTTTTTTTTTTTTTTACCAAAAAAAAAATTTTTAAAAAAATGTAAAAGTTAGTTACTTTTACATTTTTCAGTAAGCCTTAAAAGTTATATTTAACTTTATTTGCCAAAAAAAACGAAGTAAAAGTTAGTTATAGTTCAAAATCTTGTCCTTTTAACGCTAGTCTTCTTCTTCAAAAAAAAAAAATACTTTATAATTTTATTTTAGGCTTAGCCAAACACGCTCTAAGTTGGTGCTTACATGAAATTTGATTTCTCTGAGAATTCAATTGAGTTGCAAGGCTCTTTTGTTGGAGCATGAGGGAAATTGTCATTGTTATCTTTTATGATATACACATCCTTGGACTTGCAGGAGGGCACTTCCTTTGGAATATATGTACCGGTGGCATCCACGTCTGTCTGTGCAGTGACAATAACTTTTTGATGGATATCGATACCTACTGCATAAACATCAAAGTCACAAGTTCATTTAGCCAGCAATGAAAGAAAAGAGACAATATGGCAGTAAACTTAGAAAAGGAGGTTACTATGTTCTTCAAAGATCAAATCCGCTTTAAGTGTGAGCTTTCCTTGCTGAGGGATTGGAAATGTCACTGTTGTGCTGTAAGGGCTGTCAGAAAAATCAAGTGTCAACACCAAATCTTGAAAAAAAAAAAAAAACACCGGAGATATTTTCAAGCAAAATCCTTCATGAATTCATGCACATAACCGAGGGTGATTCCCAAATCAAATTCAAGCTCAAGGTCAAGAATTGTAGTTTCCGTACCTTGAGAACAACTCCACTCTGCAGCAAAAAAAAAAAAAGAAGAATTAGATACAGTCAAGAAATTGTGCCCCTTCTAATTTAAATATAGTGATTGGTCATCCATTAGAAAATGAGATGCAGATTATCAAACATAGATACCTGGTGACGAAGATAGTGGTAGGAAAATATTTTATATTCAAGGATAATTATGAACCAACAATCTAAAAACAAGCTTTTCATTTACCCCTTGAATATATCCTGCACCTCTTAAAATGTAAGTACACACACATAAACTACTTTATACCTTATTTTCTCATGAAACAGAATGAGGTTATCTTCTTCAATACCAACCATCTGCAAGATAATGTAAAAAATCATTAGATGAGGAAAAAAACTTAAATGTCATAATTGAAGGACATATATATAAATATTCTCGGACATGTACCATATTAGCAAAATGGTGTTTAGTTGATTGCATAGGCTGTGATAATCTAGTTAATGTTATCACCAGCTTGGACTTCCCTTGCCTTTGGTGACCCCCAGTTTCCTCAACCTTCATCTCAACTTTTGGGGGTAGCGATAGCAATGACTCCTTAATATGGTTCCCAAATGGATATTTTCGGCCAGTGAGCAACTCTATCTTCCTTGGATCAGCTTCAAAGAGGGTATCAAATGATTTTACTCCCATTGATTGCAGTGCCTAAGTAGAATATTACAGGTAAGGGGAAGAAAAGAAAAATGTTATTTTATTTTCAGTGATCAACAATTCAAATCAAATGTCTCAAATAGCTTTAGAAGCTAGAAACAAACCTTTGCAGTCACCATTCCAATGCCTGGTAATTGTTTCAGTAAGTATGGACTGTCATCCCATAGCTTCTGATGTAAACATTTGGCTAGAATTGATGAACTCAAAGCTCCTTTATAGATTTTCTTAAATGTAAAATACTCTTTCAGGCACTTTGCAATTCTACACCCATTTGAGCAAATAGAATTCATGTCCTATAGCAAAAACCTGGTTTAAGCTTCAGATAGATGGAAATATCACAAATCTTAAATTATTTGTGAGGACCAAAACCTGGTTCATTGACAAGTCATGAACCAAAGGATCCCCTGTCAAGCAGTCATTCGCCAAAACAAATATTTTCTCTTCTCTGGTTTGAATGCTTTTTTTCCTTTTTCCTTTCTCTCCAAGTACATGAAAGCGAAGCCGACCATCTTTGTCATTGTTTATGTCATTTAGGAGTTTCTTTTCATTACGCCTCAGTTGTATCCCTTCATTTTAAGATTAGAGGACATGTATCATTCATATTCATTGCATGAGGAACATTGTATATGGAGATGCATACATACAGGAGATTTCTTCTGCCCGACATATAACATGAAGTGCATCTTCTATACTGCAGTTTGCAGGGGACTGTATAATGTGTTTCAATGTATCAAACTTCAGATAGTACTTTGTCATCAATCTTCCAGGTTCTGAACACAAGAAAAGAAGAATAAAAAAAATTCCATCCTGCATGATAATCACAAGACTGAGAATATGAATACATGATACCAAGTGGCTTCAGCAAAAAACCATCTTCATCAGTCCAGACCGTTTGAAACCGTGATAATTCGTTAACCTTCTGAACGCAAATCTCTGGCGAAGATGAAAATCATGGAATGAATGTCAGCATAAGAATTAAAACAAGTTGACTTTGTGATTATCATTCATCAATTTACCTTGCAAATGTTTCTCTATTTGGTGGCCAGGCAGCGCCTTCTTAATTGCATAATTCTCAGGATTCTGATGCGTGAGAAGTTTCAAAAAGAGTGATCAATTGTAAGTGGAAATCCAAATTGTGGGCTCCAATTAGGCTAAAAGAACATGCCTTTTTCATTCTCACGTACAAATATGAGCATTTCATCCATTCAATTGCCCTTGTTATATCTGACACAGTTAATTGAACTATCTCTGCAGTTAGATGCTCCGTAATACATGGAAGCAATCTAAAGAGAAAACAAGGCGATGAAACAATTAAGTCAAATGGCAGGTGCATCACTTCAGTTTATACAGTATAAAGAAGGAATAACAGAGTGATTAAGGAATAGACATACTGTGATTCCACCATCTCGCACCCATTTAATAGATTCTCGTACAAATGGACCTGAGATATGATATTTGCGTGTATTATGGATGTATCATTTCATTCTTTCTTTTTTATCATATGTGGGTATGGGGAGTGAGTGCGCATGTAATTGTGCTCATGCAGTGCGTGCATGTCTGCATGTTTGAGAAATAGAGATCTACAGTTGCTTTTCTGGTCATGATTATGACGATTCCTGTATCATCAAACGGAGGACGGCCTGCCCTTCCACACATCTGCACAAATCGAGATAGTTCATTTTTGCTTGAAAAGGTACACCTTGAGATGTAAAAAGATCATGATGAATGTTTAGCTAGCACAACTACAACCAAAATCAGTATGGAAGGTTACAAGAACTAACTACGGACTATAAATCATATGGTTGACATACTTGCAAAACCATGGATCGATCATATTCCAGGTATATCCCTTTCTCCTTGTTGCTAGAATGAGTCAAAAGATTAGAACAAAATGCAAGTATGTACACATTTATGATGAAAATGTCCAAAAGTAATTTTGAGGATTACAAGTGCTGGGTTGACTTGATGACTACAGTATGTGCTGGTAGGTTAATTCCATGAGCAAGAGTATTTGTGGTGCACAAAATTTGAAGATCACCATTCAGGAAAAGACCTTCAACAAGATTGCGATCCTTTAAAGAAAGTCCACCATTATGGTATCCAACTGCACGAGACATAACTAGTAAGTTTAACGGGAATTTATATAAAAAATTACTCCAAAATTATGCTTCTACATAATTACAAATCCCAATCTTCTCATGCTCACCCTACCGCTATGCAGAAAGGAGCGCTTACCTCCAAAACGTATGTAAGATTGCATTTGTTTGTCACCACATGATAATGACGCTTCACTTAACCTTTCCAGTTGCTCTCTGCTTTTGATGAAAGGATTTGAATGGCCAAAACTCATTGCTATATGAGAGATGTGCTGCGCTGCTTCTTGTGCTCCTTTTCTGGTTGAGCAGAAAATTAAGGCAGATTTTCCTCTAGAATATTGCATGAGAATGTCTGCAAAATAAATTGCTTCATACGCATAGTCCAACAAAAAGAAGTGGCAATGGGATAATCTGTTGCTGTCGATCAGGTTTCACGGCTTACCAAAAATGTAGTTCTGAAGGCGCTGAATGACCAATGAGAGCAATAAATCATCAAGAGAGGTACAATTATTTCAATTTATAGAAATTGAAAAACATGTATTCATCAGTTGAATATCTTAAATGAAAAAATAAAAGGTTAATAGTTCAGAATGTAAATTATGGATTGAATCGTACTCCACATACCTTTTCAAACAGAAAATCATTTTTTGCTGGTGTGTAGCCTGCAAGCAGGGGATTATGATATTAAACAAATAAAAGCTAGTGGGAAATATATGTAAAATCCTGTAAAATCCTTCCAATACTAAATATCTCAATAATAAATATCTTCTTTTGATCAACATATGGTAAAATAACTAAAATATGTTTTCCCTGATTTGAAAATTTTCATTACTATTCTCTAATTTGTGTTTCCAACAGGTTAAGGCATGATAGGTCAATTTTTTAACGAATTTTTATGTTGGTTTGAGTCACCGAACTTAAATGTTTTTATAATTGGGTCACTCATTTGTTAGTTTGACTAGCTGAAAAGCTGAAATGACAGTCCATTTGGCAAATATGCTATTGACACAGACAAGTCACAAGCAGCATGGAAAATTAATATGATGTTGCATTAGTAAATTGAAAATAATAATAATAATAACTCGATTAAAATTTCGCAAATAGTTTGATGATCTCCAGTGTGCGCGACCTTTAAACGCAAGTGCCAACAGAGCATGAGGGAAATTTACACTTTTATCTAAAGGAAAAAGTAACTCATATTGGGAACAAGTGTCGAAAGGAGTTTAGCATACCAAAAACTTTGGTTGTCAACTTTACAGGTCTCATTTCTTCTCCAAACCTGCAAATTTGGGATTCATACAGAATCAAACATGTGGATATGAGTACAATTTTCACACTTATCTTATGATAAGGATTTGAGCACACCTTTTAATTCCCTGAATTGGAACCATAAGCCACTCCGCTACAAGAAGGAAAAATGTGTTCTTAATTATCAAATCATCATCCCAATATATCAGCAAAGTTGAGCTGAAATTTGAACCAGTTTAGTTCAAGTTTGTGTAATAATGTGAAGATTACCCAGGTCATTGATATTGGGGATTGTGGCAGAAACAGCAATGTAACGGACATGAAATAAAGGACTAGATTTCATTTCAGGCTTGCAAGAAAGCATCTTAATTCTGCTGACTATTGCTTCTAATGCTGCTCCACGAGGATCATTCAACAAATGAACTTCATCAATAAGCACAAGTGCTATATCACTGAAAAAGCTCAAGCCCCCATCCTTTATGCGATACCGAGTCACTGCATCAAATTTCTATGAAAAATGGTGGTTTAAATAGACATATTAAACAACAGTCAGAATCAGATCATTCAAAGATGAAATTGATTATCGTGGCTCACTAACCTCCGGAGTCGTAAGTATGATGTCAGCATCCTGTATATTCTTAATATTGTAGTACTCATTATCCCCTGTCAGCTCCAGGCAACTTATCCCCAACAATCCTAACTTCTGGGTCCAATCTCGTAGCTTCTCTTGCACCAAAGCTTTTGATGGCGCTATGTATATCTACAGGCCACAAAGTATCATATATATATAAACCATAACCAGCTCATATAGGAAATATAATGATTTCATATATTGCAGTTGATTCAGAATTGCATCCATGTCAAAGTATAGAACAATTGCCTTTGCAACATATAAGAGTCAAGATTAGCATGCAGCACACCTGCTAAGACAAGAGACAGTCGACAATAAATATTTGTTGTCACCAAAGCTTCCACGTGAGCTCTACTTTCGTATTTGAAAAGATTGGAAATTTTACATTTTGGAAGGGACATTTATTACAGTAAGTGTGAGCCTCCATATTCACTCTCTTGCATCTTTGAAGCACAAATATCTTATCACTAAGGATAGAGTATTACTGTAAGGTTTTGTGTTCTTCCAGCTGTCAAATAAGAATAAGCAGACAGTGTTTTGGAGCAATTTTTTTCATTTGTTTCATAAATTACTATTTTTAGCTATAAGAAATGAGTATCACAAACTCTCAGTAAACTTGGGTAAATTCACTAAAAGCTAGACCGTTCAGAAACTTACAGTTTTAAGGGTCCCCTTTAAATGGACAAATTTCCCATCAGTTGAAATGAACTTTGAAAGAAGCCTCAAAATGCATAACTCAAAAAGCACTGTTTTTCCACTTCCAGTTGGTGCAGAAATAACCATATTTATATCGGAAAGAAAGCATGTGGGAAAGCATTCACTCTGCAATGAGTTGAAATACCTGCATGTACGGTGAAGAAAAAATTTAGCAGAAAGAACATTAGGACCATCTATCCTCTACATGTCAGTTGGGCAAGACGTTTTTTTTTTTTTTTTTTTTTTTTTTTAATACCGTGGGTGTTCGGGCCAATTTACGCACACCTCGACTAATCCCATGGGCCCTGAAGTTTACAACTGGTTACTCACCTCAGTACCCTGAGGGGGTCGGTCAGGCAAGACCACTGGAGTTCATGTTATCTTTTTGAATAGGAACCTTTCAAAGTGTTTTATGCTGGTCCCATAAATGAGTAATGATCAATTTCCATGATTTATATTACTCTAAAGTAGCAGTCGAAAGTGCTGGTAGACATGATAAAAGTTAGACGTCCTCACTGTTTGCCACTGCCAACTGGGTTATAAAGATCTTGAAAATTTTATATATCAAGATATGACTGTCCATATGAAAGAGGACAACCAACTTCCATAACGAATGGAAACAAAAGACTGATCACTAAAATAGTACCTGAAGTTAAAGGTAGAGCGAAAAGGAGCAGGTAAATCAGTCACTGCCTTCAATGCATACGTATCTGAGAATGAGCTCATTTAGATGAACTAAAAAAAAAAACTCTATAAAAGGTATGAATTTATTTTATCACCACGGAGCTTCCACTAAAATTTCTATGAAAATAAAATTATTTGACTTGTACAGGAGCAATTTAAAAATAAAAATGAACTCCAAAAATAAAAATGAACTCCAAAATTTTCGAATTAATGAATGTTGTTACAGATAATGAATCACTGCTGTAACTTATCGTTCCAAAAAGCTCAGCAATACTAGTAATGCATTTGACTCTATAGAACTCGAGATGCACTAAGTTCGATGAAAATAGCATGATCTATGATTCAGATACGCATAATACACTCAAGTTAAAGTAAATTTAGCACCGATTTCACATTCACCGGTAAATTTAGAGCGAATTTAGCAGAAAATGCACATTCACCTGTGTAATTGTAGCTACTTGTAGTGTAGAATAGTGTAGAAGAGAGAGATATAGAGATAATGTTGAGGCAGGGAGAAAACATAAAAGGCAGAATGATTTGGATGACGGTTATATATATAACCTTGGGCGGGAGCGGGAGAGAGAGGGGTAATGATCGCCTGCTGAGCCTCTTCCAGTTGCAAAAAATCGCAGTTTACAGAGGATGCGATTTTTATTTGAATCTGCTAGTACCAAACTTTAGAATTTAATTTGGAAAATTGAGCAATTCATCCCCAATCTATGCCTTTATTTGCAAGCTAGTCTTGACTTTTAGAAAAGAGTATTTTAATTCTCAAATTTGCTTAGACCTTATTTTTTACAGATTCTTTAAAATTCACTTTTTTTTTAATCACACTTTTTCTCAATAAAATAATTTTACATGTCACTCGATTACATTTTCCTACTTTTTAAACATACATTTAATTTTTTTATTAAAATAATCTATATCAAACAAACTCTTAATACCAATATTGGTGCTACTCTGATGCAAAATAAAAGGTCTCCCAATGATTGCTATTAGTTTGCCTAACAGCAGTATAAGAATAAAATCAAAAATCGTTTAAACACATTGAAATTTAAAACACTAAATAACGGGATAAGTATATGATTGCTATTTGTGAATGATCCAATGGAATTTTGTAAGGCATCCTTCGAAGTCAGACCACTAGAGTACTTTTGGATAAATTGATTGTATTTTCTTACATCAAATTTAATTTTTTTTTTTTAATGACCGTGGGTGTTCGGGCCAATTTACGCACACCTCGACTAATCCCATGGGCCCTGAAGTTTACAACTGGTTACTCACCTCAGTACCCTGAGGGGGTCGGTCAGGCAAGACCACTGGAGTTCATGTTATCTTTTTGAATAGGAACCTTTCAAAGTGTTTTATGCTGGTCCCATAAATGAGTAATGATCAATTTCCATGATTTATATTACTCTAAAGTAGCAGTCGAAAGTGCTGGTAGACATGATAAAAGTTAGACGTCCTCACTGTTTGCCACTGCCAACTGGGTTATAAAGATCTTGAAAATTTTATATATCAAGATATGACTGTCCATATGAAAGAGGACAACCAACTTCCATAACGAATGGAAACAAAAGACTGATCACTAAAATAGTACCTGAAGTTAAAGGTAGAGCGAAAAGGAGCAGGTAAATCAGTCACTGCCTTCAATGCATACGTATCTGAGAATGAGCTCATTTAGATGAACTAAAAAAAAAAGGTCCATTCAGTATACCGATATTACAACTTGTAATGTGAGTTTATAATTCCTTGGGACGTCAGAGATAAAATAAGAGTCTGAGGTACACGAGAGATCAATTCGATAAATGAATTGATACACCAAAATTTAACTTCAACATTATACATTACATTTGTCATGCGTCTATCACGTGTTGCTAGGTTTGTTTACTTTTTCTTTTTCCTTTTTATATTCACCATGTTGCGATAATGCCTGCCTAATTTTACCTCTTCACTCCTATGCATAGAATTTCATCTCAAAATTGGGGGAAAAAAAAAATTATAACAAGATGATGCATGTGTAAACGTGATTTAAGTTTTCAATCCACACAATGATTCAAATAATTCAATCCTAGAATTGACGAATCACCTTCGTCAAACTTTCTAGCGACAAATGTCATCAAAACAATGCTAAAAGTAAGTTATTAAATGGAAATTGAATAACTACTCCAGTAATTCACGAAAATACTCTATAAAAGGAATGAATTTATTTTATCACCACGGAGCTTCCACTAAAATTTCTATGAAAATAAAATTATTTGACTTGTACAGGAGCAATTTAAAAATAAAAATGAACTCCAAAAATAAAAATGAACTCCAAAATTTTCGAATTAATGAATGTTGTTACAGATAATGAATCACTGCTGTAACTTATCGTTCCAAAAAGCTCAGCAATACTAGTAATGCATTTGACTCTATAGAACTCGAGATGCACTAAGTTCGATGAAAATAGCATGATCTATGATTCAGATACGCATAATACACTCAAGTTAAAGTAAATTTAGCACCGATTTCACATTCACCGGTAAATTTAGAGCGAATTTAGCAGAAAATGCACATTCACCTGTGTAATTGTAGCTACTTGTAGTGTAGAATAGTGTAGAAGAGAGAGATATAGAGATAATGTTGAGGCAGGGAGAAAACATAAAAGGCAGAATGATTTGGATGACGGTTATATATATAACCTTGGGCGGGAGCGGGAGAGAGAGGGGTAATGATCGCCTGCTGAGCCTCTTCCAGTTGCAAAAAATCGCAGTTTACAGAGGATGCGATTTTTATTTGAATCTGCTAGTACCAAACTTTAGAATTTAATTTGGAAAATTGAGCAATTCATCCCCAATCTATGCCTTTATTTGCAAGCTAGTCTTGACTTTTAGAAAAGAGTATTTTAATTCTCAAATTTGCTTAGACCTTATTTTTTACAGATTCTTTAAAATTCACTTTTTTTTTAATCACACTTTTTCTCAATAAAATAATTTTACATGTCACTCGATTACATTTTCCTACTTTTTAAACATACATTTAATTTTTTTATTAAAATAATCTATATCAAACAAACTCTTAATACCAATATTGGTGCTACTCTGATGCAAAATAAAAGGTCTCCCAATGATTGCTATTAGTTTGCCTAACAGCAGTATAAGAATAAAATCAAAAATCGTTTAAACACATTGAAATTTAAAACACTAAATAACGGGATAAGTATATGATTGCTATTTGTGAATGATCCAATGGAATTTCGTAAGGCATCCTTCGAAGTCAGACCACTAGAGTACTTTTGGATAAATTGATTGTATTTTCTTACATCAAATTTAATGTATCATCTTATTGACATAGTTACTTTAATTTTACACTAGTCAATTTTTAATTATCCGATTAAACAATCTTGAAAACTATGAATGAAATAGTGATAGAATAATACCTCCTGATCTACCTGGTGTCCTTTAGCGTTCCTGTTACTCCGACGGGCGTATGTAACCTGAAAAGTGAGTACAGGGCGGTTATGGAATAATGCCTCCTTATTTACTTGGCGGCCTTTAGAGTTTCTGCTGCTCCGACGGGTGTGTGTAACCTGAAAAGTGAGGGCGGGGATTTCTCCCCCATTTTACCTCCGGCGTGAGAATTAGTATACGTGTTAGGAGAAATAAGGACGGAATTCAGATGATTGAAAAATATGCAGTCATCCATACCTATGTATTCCTCGAGGGTATTTATAGACATTGGAAACCAAGTGAGAGCCGGATGGTTGTGGTGCCACGTGTCCCCACATTGGCCTTTCCATTACCCCCACGTTATGAGTGGGGGGTCTTAACTTCCTGTTTGGAGGTTGTACTCGTGGTAACCGCCATATAACCTTGCCAATTCATCAGAGATTTTATGGCTAAGTGTTGAGATGACCCTATATGTAATTCCATGTCGGTCGATGGTCTCGGGTTGAGGTAGAGCACCCGGGGGTCAACGATCTCTCATAGAGATAGAGCACCCCCAGGGGGTCGATGGTCTATCGTAGAAGTAGAGCGCCCCTGGGGGGTCGACGGTCTCTAGTAGAGGTAGAGCACTCGGGGAGATCGATGGTCACTCGTAGAGATAGAGCACCCGAGGGGTCGACATCTCGCGTAGAGGTAGAACGCCCCTATGCGTCTATCACGTGTTGCTAGGTTTGTTTACTTTTTCTTTTTCCTTTTTATATTCACCATGTTGCGATAATGCCTGCCTAATTTTACCTCTTCACTCCTATGCATAGAATTTCATCTCAAAATTGGGGGAAAAAAAAAATTATAACAAGATGATGCATGTGTAAACGTGATTTAAGTTTTCAATCCACACAATGATTCAAATAATTCAATCCTACGCCCCAGAGGGGTCGATGGCCACGCGTAGAGGTTCAATGGCCTCGTGTAGAGGTAGGGCGCCCCGACTGGGTTGACGGCCTAGCGTAGAGGTGGAGTGCCCCCGAGGGGTCGATGGCCATGCGTAGAGGTAGAGCGCCCATGGAAATCGATGACCTCACGTAGAGGTAGAGTGCATATGGGAGGTCGATGATCTCGCGTAGAGATAGAGCACTCATAGGGGTCGATGGCTTCGCATCGGCGTGTAGTGATCTACCTTGCTTATCATCGTAGGTAGTTTTCTATGTTAACTGATATCATTAGACCCTATCCCTTATCGATATATTTTTTTTGACAGAGGGGTAGCAACTTCCCTTATCCGATTTTTTTTTAAACTAGTTCGAATAAGCTAGTCGAGTAGTACAATTTAATCTAGGTAACTATTTTACTGTACATTTAGCACCCAACCAATGGGTATAGTCTTGGAGGGAATTTTCTCCCCAAAAATTTGAATCCCTTTTGCTTATAAAAAGGGGGGTGGTCTCCTATTTGAAATCATTTCCATTCATCCTCAACATCCTACATTTTCTCCTCCTCAAGGTAACATTCTCGTCTTTCATTCCAAGATTTTTACTTAGAGTTTTTGCTTTTCCCCTCTTTTTTCTCTTCTTTTTTTAATGTATAAGACTATCATCACTTCTTTCTCCAATGAGAGTGGCGACGGGGAATGTAATGGATCGATCGAACCTTCGTCGGAAGGGTCGGTCGACTCCGACGATGGGCCGACCGACCGGTGGGCCGGTAGGTCAGTGACCAACAAGGCTGGTCGGGGGTCGGCCCGCCTTCCTTTGGACTCCCCCCAAGATGATTGTTCTTCTGTCTCCTTGGATAGGCTGCCTAGCGAATCCTTTCCTTCATCCAATAGTTCCATTCATGATTCCGATAATAGGACTTCTTCGGCCGAACCTCAAATGTTTATTTCTAATTCTCCCAAGAGGCATATTAGCTCTACCAAGCTTCCCAATCAAAACTTAGAAATCGGGCGGGATCCGGCTGGAGAGCCTTTACAATTCTCCGCTCAAGTTAGAGAAATGTCTTGCCAAGTATGATCGGGTCGATGACTATGTCTATAGAGCCCCTGGTCCCAAAGAGAGGAAACTCGGGTCTGACCCCCACAAGATAGCGGTGTATAAGGACATCATGGATGGCGGTTGAAAAGTGAGTACAGGGCGGTTATGGAATAATGCCTCCTTATTTACTTGGCGGCCTT